TAAAAAAAATATTTTTTAATGAATTTACTTAATTATCTATAAAAAGAGATGCATGAATGATACTTATAACGAAGCTTAAATTATTATTTTTATGCAAATTTATTATTATTGTTATTATGGGAATTTTTTTTTTTTTTTGAAAAATCAAGGTCTAACAGCAGGGCAATTAACAACTTTTTGCCCACAATTTTCTCGTTTTGGCCCCGGGTCCACGTACATCCACGATGGACCCCACAAGTATGAGTCACCGTTGTTGACGGAACTCAATCCTCAGCCGTCGATCTGTCTGATATTCTCAGGATGAAATCCTGACCGTTCATTATTTTTATCTCAAACCTCAGCTCATGTTTATCTCACTCTCCCCCTTCCTACGTGGCATTTAACTGGATTTAAAATCCGAACTTCAAGTCCGCACTATAAATACCCACGTTACAGAACAAGCCAAACTAAACTCGAATCGAAAATTAAAAAACCAAGAATCGTTATTGTCCTCCCCCCCCCCAGAACACTGAGGTGTGAGGAGAGTAGAAAAAATTTTCGGTCTCCCTCTTTCGTTTCGAGGTTTGAATCGCTCGAGCCTTCGAATCTTTTAAGGTTTATCTGATTGAATGCTGTTCTTACATGAATTTGTTTGTAATTCTGTTTAATTGTCGTTATACGCTCGTTGTTTCGGTGTTGTTTACTGGTTTACTGGTTGAAGTTGCATTAGGGCTTTAGGGTTTTACCTTTCGGTGCGCTTTATCGAGTACGTTTTTCTGTTCTCGAGCTGTTACTTGGCTGTTGTTCGTGTTTGGTTCTGTTGGATTTTGTTTGCGTGGTTCTGTTTGTCCGAGGAGAGAGTTGAGGAAATGAAGGAGTTTGAATTTTGGATTTGTGGTTGGTTGCTTTTTGGCGTGTGAGATAACTGGAGCATGGCTTTGTTGTGCTGTTTCTAGGGTTTTTTTTTTTCGCCATAGTTGTGCTTCGGTTTTATGTTTGAATTGAGAGCTGAAGCGAAGTATGAGATTTTGAACATTTCTCTCGACCTTATCTCTGTTTTACTCGGTAAAAAGAAGGGTTTTCTTTTTTCTTTGTCTGTCTTAGTTTTCTATGAAGTCTGTTTTACAGAATTCAAATTTTTTTTCTTCGTGTGGTTGAGAACCGTTAGGCTACTGTAGATCTTGTCCAGTTGTTGCTCATGATTTTGATGTGGATTTTATGTTGCAGGTTGCATGCGCTTTTGAGTTTAGTGGGGATTCTGTACTCTGGTAGGTTTGTTAGTCACTACTTTTATTAAATTTTGCTAATTGTTTGTTTCCTTTTTATTTAAGTTTTTTCCTCTGTTTAATTAATTAAGTGAACAGTGCTTCCTATGATCGATGCACATTGACGTTATAAAGTGTGAATCAGGAAATTTAATTATGCTTTAACGGTCAATTGTTGCTAGATTTGTGGCAGTAGTGAAACTTTCTAGAAAATTAACTTGCATGTGGACAGCTCTTCCAAGGATCGATGCACATTGACGTTATAAGGTGCAAATTGGTAACTTTAATATGTTTTAACAGTGAATTACACTTAAACTTGTGGTGGAAGTGACATTTACTATAAATTTAACTTGCATGTGTACTGATCTTATAACTTGCATGTGATATCTACTAGAAATTTTAACTTGCATGGAATCAATGAGCATTCAAGTTATTAACTAAAAATTGAGAAACTCTAGTATATTTAATGGTAGATTGTTAGATTTGTGGTAGGATTAATGTTTACCAGAAATTTAACTTGCATGTATGCAGCTCATCCTAGTATCATGCAAATTAATATTATAGGGTGGAATCCAGAAACTTTATTATGCTTTAATGGTAAATTATTGGTAGATTTTTGGTATAACTGTTTTTCGCTAGAAATCTAACTTGCACGTTCACAGCATCTTCATGGGATCAATCAGCATTGATGTTTTAAACTACAGATCTAGAAACTGTCGTTCGCTTTTGTGGTAAATTGTTGTTAGATTTGTTGAGAAATAACATTTACTAGAAATTTAAGTTGCACGTGTTTGCAAATTAATGTTATAAAGTGCAAATTGAGAAACTTTATTATGCTTTAACGGTAACCTATTGATAGATTTTTGATAGAACTGTGGTTCAGTAGAAACTTAGCTTTCACACAGATCTATTCGTAAGATCCATGCACTTTTTTTTTTTTGAAAGTAAGATCCATGCACATTAATGTTATGAAGTAAGGATTGGGAAACTTCGTTACACTTTAAGGGTAAATTATCATTTGATTTGGGGTGGAACTGATATTTTGCTAGAAATTTAACTAGCATGTTTGTAGTATCAATGTGGATTTATGTTATAAAGTGCAAGTTGGGACACTTTATCATACTTTGGCAATAAGTTACATTTATGGTAGACGTTATATTTGCTAGAAATTTAACTTGCATGCATGTTGCTCTTTCTTGGATGGATTCACGTTGATATTATGAAATGCAAATCGGGGATGCTTATAATTATTTAATGTTAGATTTGTGGTAGAGATGCCCTGGAAAATTAACATGCTAGAAGTGATATTCCCTAGAAATTTAACTTGCGTGTGATTCTTGAAATATTTAATTGGCCATTTGTTTCTGGTTCTTTGATACTGCTTTGATTTTCAGTTATTGTTTGGTTTATTTCACAATTTTTCTTTGGGACTTGAGTTTGACAGAAGGTTATATTTCAGCTTCAGTGCTTTCTAGTTGTCCAAGCTTTAAGTGAACTGGGTTAACATGGGTGACGAGGAAATGAAAACTGCAGCAGCCAATGGGAACACTCAGCCAGATAAACCTGTTGAAGTTGCGGCTGAAAAGAAGGTGGAGGAAACTAATGGAGTAAGGGAAATGGAAGAAGAACAGAAAGACAAGAAAGCGGGTATGGAGAAAATGGATGAAGATCAGGAGATCAAGAAAGATGGTGAAAGCAAAGAAGCTGACATGAAAGAAGAAGATGAGGAACCTAAAGCTGAAGAAATGGAAGAAGAAACGGGTTCAAATGGAAATGAAAAGATGAATGAAAAGGAGGAAAACAAAGAGGAAGAAGAGGTGGAGGAGAAGCTTTTGGAAAAGAAAGAGGAGAAGAAGGTGGAAAGAAAGGAGGAGGTGGACGAGAAAGAGGAAGCTCAAGAGGATGTGAAGAAGGAGGAAGAGGAAGTGGAGGAGAAGGATGTGGAGGAGAAAGAGAAGGTTGATGATTCTAAGGAGGAAGAGGAGAAGGAGGACAAGAGGAAGGAAGCAAAAGTACCCAGGAAACGTGGGAGGGGGAAGATGGCAAAGGAGAAAGTTGAAGAGAAGGAAGAGTTGGAGCAAAGGACTCCTCTAACTGATCGCCCTGTACGTGAGCGGAAATCTGTTGAAAGGCTTGTGGCTTCTATTGAGAGGGACACTGTGAAGGAATTCCACATTGAAAAGGTTTTTAGTTTTCTATTTAATTTCTATTCTGTAAATATTTTTTGGTTTGAAGGATTTATTTATTCTTAATTTGTCTTGGAAATTACAGGGACGTGGTACTGCATTGAAAGATATTCCAAATGGTATATTTTTTATCCCTTTTCTGAACTATATTTTTTATATTTATTTATGGGATGGTATTTCTCCACATTAGCTAGTTAGAGATTAAGTCTACTTCTAATCTGGGCCCATTGGCTATTAACTTTTGATATGCTGATTTGATTTGTCTTAAAATTTCTTGTAATAATGTGTAAGATGAAATTGGTGAACATGCCGAATTATTTTTTTTTTCCATTTCAAGCTCTTCTGGAAGTTATGTTGACTAGCAGTTGCTGCTTGATTGAGGTGTTCTTGCTTGCTGCATTTTCCTTCTGTATTTACTTATCTATTGTGAGACTGTAGGAGTCAAACTATCTAGTCATATTTCGTGTTACAATTTCAAGTGGTCACTAAGCCAATCAAACTTATGCCGGGTTGGTGTAGGTAAAGCTTTGGTTTATAAAAGAACTTGAAAAATCAATTTGGTTTCTCATCTTTTTGTGATATTCATGTTTTAGGTATTTGATATTTATCCTCGAGAAAGGCTGATGTATGTGAATTACTTTTGAAACTGTTTCCTGTTTCAGTGGCATTCAAGTTATCTAGAAGAAAGATGGATGACACCTTCAAGATGCTTCATACTGTTCTCTATGGAAGAAGAGGAAAGGTAGTTTGAATGTTTTAGACTTTGGGAATAGTTCCTCTGTTGCATTTTCCTTCCTTATCTCTGCTCGTTCAGTTAAGAAGGATTATATGCATGTGTATACATGCATGTATCTATATGTGGAAGGTTAGGTTGGATATAGATAGCTAGGTACTGTAAAAGGCTGTGCTTTGCTGGATGGTTACATAGTGGTTATGACTTACTGGCTTAATGTGGCTTCTGCTTGTTGCTTTTGCAGGCAGTTCAGATCAAGAATAATATATCCAGGTTTTCTGGTTTCATATGGCATGACAATGAGGTAAACAAGCTTCGATTAGACGGTTGAGAAACGGAATTTATCTGTTGAACTTGTAATCATTTTGTAGATATACGGTGCACTTTGGACCGTAAAATGTGATAATGGATGTTATTTTAAAGTATTTTATCTTAACGAGCTTTTATGTCGAATATCTGCAGGAAAAACAGAAGGGCAAGGTCAGAGAAAAATTAGACAAGCATACTAAAGAGAAGCTGTTGGAATTCTGTGATTTGCTTGACATACCAGTTTCCAGGGCAACTACCAGGAAGGTGTGTTTGATACTGCTGCTTCCTACCCTGGAATTGTTTTTTTCTTAATGACTAAATTTTATATTGTTTTCATGCCTATTCATTAAAGATGTTTCCTCTTTTTTATTTTTCTTTAGAAGGTATTTTGCAAATCCAATGCTTTTGGTTATTATTATAATCTGAGCATTCTGTCTGGCTTCCTCTCTAATTATGGGGCTTACCATTTTTAATTTTTGCCTATTGCAATACTGTTTATAAAAAAACAATTGCCTGGAGGATTGGTTTTTAATTTGCTTAACTGCACAGGAGGACATTGTTGCGAAGCTCATGGACTTCTTAGTTGCTCCTCATGCTACAACAACTGTGCTACTTGCAGAAAAAGAGAAGGTTTGTCTATTCTATGTGGCTTAAATTTAATTTACATTTTTTTAATATCGCCTTTCTTTTGTTAATTCATGGTACAACATTATTTTAATTTTCCTGTTTGTATTCAGTCAAGCAAAGGCAAAAAGCGCAGGAGGGTTTCCAAAAGTTCGTCGGCATCTGGTAGTGCTTCATCAAAACTTTCAGCCAAGGTATTATTTCTTTCTTGGTCTTCATCAGAAACGTGCTTGTGATTTTTGCAGTAAAATATACTTAAGGGAATGTTTTTATTTGGATATCCTTTTATTCGTCATATGCAATCCTACTTTCTTGCAGTTTGACTTTGGATAGACTGGATAATGTGCTGTTTTGTGCTGGAGCAATAATATCAGTTTGATTGCATATTTAGGTTGTGTAGATTCAATTTTTTTTATCTTATAATAATTAGAATTGAATTAGCGGAAGTCTTCTTCATTTCTGGTCAATGTCTCCACTAATCATTAGATAAGCATTGTTGGATCCTAACCTATTCTACTGGGTTATGTTAAGAGTCTAGATTTGTGTGAATTCTATGTTGATTTTTAGGGTCAATTTGATTGAGACCGTACAGATAAATGGAAATGGTTGAGAAAATAATGAAATAGGATAGTTTTGAAACATACCATGTAAGGATTTCCTTTTTTTTTGTTGCTTCTCGATTTAAATGATTTAATATCATTTTCAGTGTCTCAGTATTTCTCATCTTTTATGTGGCATCTTTTGTAGAGTCGAAGAAAGACTGAAGAAACTTCGATTGATGAGAAGAAAAGTTCAGCTGATGGAGAAGATGAATCTGCTGAAGAGGAAGAAAGGGAAGATGATGAAGAAGAGGAGCAGAACAGAGAAGAAGAAACTGAAAATGGTGTTCCTGATAAACCTGAGGATGAGACACCTGTAAATTCTGAAAGTGAAGAGAAAAGTGAATCCGAAGAAGAATCTGAAGAGGACATTGGCAAAAGGAAACGAGCTAGAAAAGCATCATCTGGAAAGAAGGAACCAGCTGGAAAACCTAAGGCCAGGAAAATGACAGCTGGAAAACCAAAACGAGCGCGAAAGCAACCATCATCAAAACCCACAAAAACAGTTGATGACAGTGATGCAAGCCCAAAGGTGTCTTCAAGAAAGAAAAGAGATGAAAAAGCTCCCAAGGAGAAGTCTTCTACTCCTACAAAATCCTCTTCAAAGGAAAAAGCTGGTAAGACATGACTTCTTTTTCTTGGGTGGTTGGGGTTTTTGTCGAAACCTTTTGTGAGTTTTTTACTTAAACATGTGATGCTGAGACAGTTAATAGAAATGACATGAAGGTTTTTGAGTGTCGACCACCACTTTTGAAAATTTCTTTTTCCCACCTATTTTTAAGGAACAAATGTTGGGAAAGGGAAGGACAAGGCTAAAGAGGAGAAGTCAAAAGAGAAACTGAAGCCAGCTGATGAAGAGTTAAGAGATGCAATATGTGAGATTCTTAAAGAAGTGGACTTCAATACGGTAAGCTTTCTGTCAAAACTTCTAAAATGACTAGCAGGTTCCCCTGAAAATATTTCAGATATTCTGGAAATTTTAGAAGTAATGGCTCTTTCAAACAATTACCTTTCCACATTTCTACTACATCTCTGCAGCTGTTGGATTTTCATCTCTTTATCTTTTTGCCTTGCTAGCTATGATGCAATTCTGACTAAAAGTACATGCAGAATTTTGTATTACGTGGCTCACTCTTTGTTATCTTTCAGCTGGTTAGTTCTCTGATCTTCAGGTGGTGTTAAGCTTTCTTTTTCTATTTTGCAGGCCACATTTACCGACATTCTGAAGCTACTGGGTATGCTCTTTTCATGTTCTTGCCCTCATTTTTTTTTAACTCTTTCCCCTGTTCAATTCTCCTATTTTGGTACTCTTTACCCCTGTTCAATTTTGAAACATGACCAAAGTAGATTCATCTGTTTTGGCTTCAAGCTTCTTACTTGCCTTTATGATCTGGTGAACATATATGGTAACAGAGTCATTATATATGAATATTTCTTAAATTAAATATTTTTTTGTCTGATTTTTCAACCGGTCCTCACAGTTAAATGTTTAACGTGATTCTATAATACTGTACCTGGATTTCAGCCTTCCTATAATGCTTAATGAAACATTTACGTCTTTTCAGCAAAGCAATTTGATACAGACCTCACCCAGAGGAAGTCGTCTATAAAGCTTATGATCCAGGAGGAGCTCACAAAATTAGCAGATGATGGTGAAGATGAAGAAGGAGAAGGTGATGCAGAGAAAGAGAAAGATGACAAATAACCAATCTGGTGGTCAACGGGTTTAAACTTGAACCCATGGCCAAAGGATGGTACAGATGTGCATGAACATAGTGTAGCTATTTAATGTCATCTTACCTTTTTTTGGTTTGACTATAAACATTATGTATCTGGTAGCCTGTTTGCCCAAGTAAAGGTGGGCTGTAATTTTATTGTAGTGTTGGGAGTTTGGTGGTTGCAGGCAGAACTAGCATTTGTTAGAAAACTAGGGGAAAGCTGTGCTACAGGATTTGCAGCTTGTTGTTACATAGTAACATCATAAGGTGTAGGATTTTTTTCTTGCCCATGTTTTAAACTCTATCTGACCTACCTTTTGTAGGGTTCAAAATGCATTATTGTTTTTATAGTTCATTGCCGTTTGTCTTCTGCTTGAGTTATTTACCGTTCCTGCAATGCATTCCATGGTGGTCCATTATGAATGTGGGACCTCTTTTTCACCGGGAAAATATTGGGTTTTCTTTCTGGTCGGAACAGAAAGTGGCAACCACAGAATGTGGTGGTCGGTTCTAAGATTGGCTCATGAAATCTTCAGGTAATTCTCTGACTTTACCAAATTGGATTTTGTCTTGTTCAAAAGTTTGTAACCTACGGTTTAAACCAAACAAATCTTTTACAACTTTGGTTTAAAATATTTATTTTATTTTTGACAATTAGAAGTGGTCTTTATCCTTTTCCTGAATCTTGCACCATTATGGTTTTCACTGAAATTATTATTTGTAATTACTTTTTACTGGTGATTGATACTGAATTAAGCTGCCAGTATCAAAGTCATGACCCCTTTGATTTTAAAACAGGTCGTAGTCATACGATTTTGTGGGCAATAATAATATCGTGAAAGGCACTAGCCGAAGCCATTGATTGAAGAGTCACTACCAGGTAGGTTTAGTTGTTTGATTTTGAATAATTGTATTTATGGGTTTCTTTTTTTTTTAGAAAAAAAAAAAAAATAAGTGAAACCAGTAAATGTGATTGCAATCTCTCATGTGTTGTGTGGGGTGGGCTGTTTATCCACTAAAACCCTAATTTGAAAAGACAGAGACGACCACGAACATTAATCGACAAGAGATCCCAAGGTCAACCACCCCCCAATAATGGCTTTATAAAATTTTGAAGACCCAATTCAAGCTCCTTCCACAGAGCCCTATTTGAATCCCGATTTCTCTCACACATCTAATCTTCAAGGCTTAGAAAGAGTTCATCCCTTTTACAAAATGCTAATGAGGCTTAAAGCTCAATCCGCCAGAGACAAGGTCATTCTATGCATTGTTGGTCTTACATACTATGTACATTTACTAACCCTAATTCATAAACAATTTAGTTTGTAAAAATACCAATTTAATTAATTAAAAAATAATAATATCGACACTTAAAAATATTTAATTAAATTACATTCGATATGTTGTCATTATTTATTTAACTAAAATTTATTAACTGTCGTTTATGAATAACTATGTTTGTTAATGTAATAATAACTAATGATTAAAATAGTAATATTAAATAGCTAATATAATTATGAACTATTATTACCTTTGAATAAATACAAGTAGAGTAGAAAAAAAAAAAAAAAAAACTGAGTATACATAATTATGCATATGTATCAAAATGTGTTAAATTAAATATATATTA